TCCTTTACATGTATGAAAGCAAGGAAAGAAGTCCATTTTGTTACTAATACTCAAGAAAAGGTCAAACTCCTTAAAACCTAAAGTGGTAAACGCAGTGAGGTGGGTTGGGGGAGAGGCTTCTTGGAAAGAGTACTTCAAAGGCTACCTTTCGGAGTCAAAGACATTCCAAACACTCAAACTACTCCGTTCTTTGCCTCACAGCACAGAAATACACGTGATAATTAAACGCTGCCAATTATTATTAACCTCGCTTGACAATTTTGTGAGGCTGAGGATAGAACCAAACTATTAAGCATCACTACATTAGGCCACACCCACACACTGCTAGGCCACACCCATTAAAAACACCTGGAGTGACTTTGTTTTAATGACTTCCAAGGCTGGCAGCCCTTTCTGAAATGATCAACACAGCTGTAAGCCCTTTTCTCTGCACTGCCCATCTGAGGTGATACCACGGCGTAACCTGCCTCTAAAGAAAAGAGACAGAGGGGCAGGTGGTTAGTACTTGGTTGTGTAGCTCATTTAGAATCATAAAAAGCCTTAAGTTGCAGGCTTAAGTCAGCTGCACAGGCCATAAAGATCTTTTGCAGAACTTCAGAAGTGGGGATGCTTCCACCATTTTGCCCATGTGACAAAATATCCCATCCCATAATAAAGCTAAGCCTGCATTTTTGCCTCTGTGTGTTCAGCTTTGCAGTCTCCAGGTCTCTTAAGAGTTTCAGCTACGACTGCTAAACTATCTTCTGCAAATCAGACCTCCCCATTATAGGGACATTTATTTTTTTATTCTGGGATCTTGCTGCTTTCCATATGAAATGCTCTGGGGCTAAAGACAAATATCATTGCTGTGTATTTCCCCCTCAAAAGCATTCCTGTCACCCAAAGCCCATGAAAACATCTAGGAAAAAAAAGGTTTTCTCATAAAACCCTAGCTTGCAGGGACTTGTCATAAGTCACATCTTTAATAAGCATCCCCAACTATAATTATTCTCTGAAATTATATGTGTGCATTTAATAGCTTTGAAAAATAAATGGTTCTCGTCTTTTATATGGTAGGTGGGTAAGTGTCTGCCACTGTTCTATGGGTAGGAGAGAAAACCCCACAGTTTGTTGACATGGATATGTTTAATGTAGCAGAATTGTTTATTAAAGAACACATCTTGTCTGAAGGGTATCAGGAATGCTTTGGAGGGGAAAATATACAGCAATGATATTCGTCTTTAGCCCCAGAGCATTTCATATGGAAAGCAGCAAAATCCCAGAATAAAAAATGTGTTACCTTTGCATTATCTTTCGCCTGGCCTGGAATCCGTGATCATCATGTCTGGTGACAGCCTCTCTGCCTCCAGTGGTCTGATGTTGTCAGGGTGACTGGAGACTCCTGCTGGTGTACATGGGCACTGCTTCAAGCAACTACAGTGCCTGGTGAGTTATATCCAAACAGAAAGCTCTTGCCTAGATGTGCCTTTCTTAATTTGGGTTTTCTGCTACTTAGATGGAAACAAAAAATTCTGATAGGATTTTGTGTTCTCAAAACATCATTTAAATTCCCAACACAAGCTGTTTAACACTTAATTTTTTTTTAAAGGCAACTGTAATTTGCTAAGAAATTCAAGGGTTAAGTTTGCTGCTTTTTAAAGATTATTTCAGCCCTTACAAGTTGTTAACTCCGAAGTGTTGGTTTCATCTGTGGGGGTTTAGTGTTGCCACCAAATCCTCCATTTCACCTCTAGTCTCCCCCTGGAGTGATGTGTTTTGCATTCTGGTTTCAGAGGGCTCTATTCTCTCCCCCTCTCCCCTTCTCTCCCTCCCTCTCCCTCTCCCTCTCCCCTTCTCGATCTCCATCTCCCTCTCTCTCTCTGTTGCACTGGTGACTGATGCTTTGCTCTCACAGTAGTTCTAGACTGGTTTGTCTGTTAAACACGGTAAGAACCAGTGCTTTAAAAATGATATCACTTGCTATTTGTTATAAGTAAGTGTATTTGTGTTTTATAGCAAACTAGACTAGGAAATCATTTCATACCTTGGCAGATAAGTATCTGTTGATGAGGCACTAAACTAGAAAACCTGAGGTTAAATATTTGCTCACTATTTGGTGCTAGTATGTGTGTAGGTCATCTAATTTTGTTGGTATTTGGTAACTGGGACATCAGGGTGCCAGCAGGCCTGGCCCTACCACCTCTCAGCTTTGTAAGTTTGCCCAGACCATTCAGTCTGTATGAGCTTGTCACCCACTTTCAAAATCAAGGAGATTTGCCTTATTGCTCTTGAAGTCCCTTTTCATGTCTAGGCTTGGCATTTTGTTATCTTCTCAGCCATGTAACATTGGACTGAGTGCTATCAATTTCAGAAAACTTCATGATTGAAGAATTCTGTCTTAGGTCATGAGTAGAGTGCTGTTTCCGTGTGGGTGGCTGTTATAGTATTCCTTTGGTTACAGTTCGGACCTTGAGTGTCTCCCCAAGCCCATGATGGGACTGCTAGGGCCTGGGGGGAGGATGCTAGATGACTGGGGAGTTCCTGTGGCAGGGCAATTGGGACTCTGGTTCCTCTTCTTGCCCTTTTTGTTGCCCTATTGTGAACAGGCCTTCTCTGCCACATGCTTTCTCCATGCTATACTGGGGCCAAATGACCTCAGATTAAAGTCTCTTACATCATGAATTGTAGGCAGAGTTTCTGTCCTACCTGGTCCCACTGCCCTTCAGTCCCAAATAAACATACAGAGGTTTATATTAATTATAAACTGTTTGGCTGATGGCTCAGGCTTCATATTGGCTAGCTCTCTCTTGATTATTAACCCATGTAGTCTTTCTTGGCTTACCAGAGAATGCTTGAAGCTATTCCTCCTTCAGCAGTTACATGTCTCTCTGGAGCTCCTCTCTGCCTTCCTTTCTCCAGAATTCTCCTCTTCTGGTAGCCCCACCTATACTTCCTGCCTGGCTACTGGCCAGTCAGTGTTTTATTCATCAACCAATAACAGAAACATATATACAGAAGGACATCCCCCCATCAAATGAAATTTTCCTCTTTCAGAGCTAACTCTGTTAGACAGTTTGTCCTTAAACAGATAGCTAGCACATCCCTTAAGAGCAATTTCTATTCAATTGTGTTTTTATGTCTAATAGAATAGAATAAATCCCTCAATATTTCCATCAAATGAAATTTTCCTCTTTCAGAGCTAACTCTGTTGGACAGTTTGTCCTTAAACAGATAGCTAGCACACCCCTTAAGAGAAATTTCTATTCAATTGTGTTTTTATGTCTAATAGAATAGAATAAATCCCTCAATATTTCATTATAGTATCTCCATCTATGAAATGTTGTCTGTCCAAGAATGTGTAATATTGGAACTCAAAAAAAGTCATAATAGGTATTATAGGCTAACATAACGGACATAAGTTAATAAGCAAGTTACAAAACCGCATAGTCTAGGAATCTATTTTAAATCCCGTTTAGCTTGGCATCATTGGTTCTTTTTATAATTTAAAATTTTATTTTATGCATATGTTTGTTTGGCCTGCCAGTATGTCTGTGTTATCGTGTGCATGGCTGGTACCTGCAAAAGCCAGAAGAGGGTACCGGATCCCCTAGAACTGAAGTTACAGGCAGTTGTGAGCCCTAACCCAGAGGTCCTGACCCAGTTTCCTCCTGAGGCCCAGAGCCTGGTGTGTAGCTCGGTGTTGCTCAGCTCCTCGAACCTCTGGGACAACTCTTGGGTTCCCCGTATGGTGGCATGGTAGAAACATTCATCTCAGTTGGCCATCTGCATTTGGCCACTCATGGGCCAATGATTTCCTTGAAAAATTGAGAAATACCTGGACTGCAGGCAGTTATTGAAGGAGGCAAACATATGCCCAACATCAAATCCATTCTCTCCTTGACCACTTGTGGTCCAAGGCTGATGACTCTGTCTTTGTCCCTTGCCTTTGGAAGGTGCTTCTTCTCTTGACCAAATTATCAGCTGCTTTTCTAAAAAGATTTATTTAGTTTATGTATATAGTGTTCTGTATGCATGTATGCCTTTATGGCAGAAGCGAGCATCAGGTCCCACTCTAGTGGTTGCAAGCCACCAGGTGGGTTGCTGGGAATTGAACTCGGGACCTCTGGAAGAGCAGCCAGTGCTCATAACTGCTGAGCATCTCAATAGCCCAGCTGCTTGCCTTTTAAACAGCTCAAGCATTCTGTACTGTGAACTAGCTATTTAAGTCTTGAGTCATGGGATTCTGTGCCTAAATGTTCCCACTGAATTTCCCACACTGACATACCTTTGAAACGACAGCTCTGTGGGATGATATAATCAGTGTCTTTAAGAGGAGCCGCGGAAGGAGCTGCTGTATAGTCTCAGTATTAGAATGGGCGGGGTTCTTCTGAACAGACGAAGGAGTTGCAGTG